AAAAAAAAAAAAAGAAAAATAAAAAATAAAAAATAAAAGAACAAACCACAAGGAGATACCATTTCATACTCATCAGGATGCCTCCTATCAACAAACAAAAGGATATGATGAAATTGGAGCTCTGTGTACTCTTTGTGGGAATATAAAACAGTGCCACTATGGAAAACAATATGTTTCCAAAAAAAAAAATAATCTGGATATATACCCAAAATAATTTAAAACAGGATTTTGAAGAGATCTTTGAACACCCATGTTCATGTTGCCCAGGATGGACTGCAGCAGTAGCATGACCTGAGTTCACTGCAGCCTCAGCCTCCCGGGTTCAAGCGATTCTCCTGCCTCAGCCTCCCGAATACCTGGGACCACAGACATTGACATTCTTCATAACAGCTAAAATGTGGAAGTAACCAAGTGTCCATTGGCAGATGAATGGATAAACAAAAGGTAGTACATCTGTACAACGGAATATTATTCAGATTTTAAAAGTGGAGAAACTGTCCCATGCTGCCATGTGGACGGACCTTGAGAGCGCTGTGCTAAATGAGACGGGCCTGGCACAAAAGCAGCAGCACCGTGTGATTGTACTCAGATGAGGTGCCCAGGAGTCATATTTGTGGGACAGGAAGTGGGATGGTGTCTGCCAGGGCCTGGGGAAGCGGAAATGGGAGTTGTTGAATGGGTACAGGGTTTCAGGTCTACAAGATCAGTCCTGGATGTGGATGGTGGTATGGTTGCACAGCAATGTGAACAGACAACACTACTGTGCACTGAAAATGGCTAAGATGGTAAATTTTATGCGTATTTTACCACACAAATAACAATCAAAACATTAAATAATGAAAAAAGTTTTTAAAAGGGGAAGAAAATGGATACAAGTAGTGTTTATTAAACAGATGACCCTCAAAATTATTCTGTAATTTTCCACACACACAAGGCAACATACATATTGTGGGATTCCATCTATGTGAACTTCCATGACAGACAGCACTACTCATTGGTGATAGAAGTTAGAAATTGGCCGGGCGCAGTGGCTCACGCCTACAGTCCCAGCACTTTGAGAGGCCAGGGCGGGTGGATCACTTGAGGTCAGGAGTTCAACATCAGCCTGGCCGACATGGAGAAACCCCGTCTTTACTAAAAATACAAAAAATTAGCCGGGTGTGGTGGTGGGTGCCATAATCTCAGTTACAGGGGGTTGAGGCAGGAGAATCACTTGAATCCAGGAGGCGTAGGTTTCGGTGAGCCAAAATCGAGCCACTGTACTCCAGCCTGGGCGACAGAGTGAGACTTTGTCTCCAAAAAAAAAAAAAAGCATTTGCCTGGGTGAGGCGTCTGAGAGAAGCAGGATGGACTGAAAAGAGGTGTGTGGGAAACTTCTGGGGACTTGGAAATGTCCTGCATCTTGGTCAGGCTGATAGTTACACAGGCATATATGTCAGTCAGGGTTCAGCCAGAAGCAGAATCAGTAGGAGACACAAGTTAGGAGATTAACTGCAAGGAAGTGGCTTATGCACTATGGGGGCTGGTTTGGCCAGTCTGAAATCTGGAGGGCAGGCCGTCAGAAAGTTACAGTCCTGCTTTAGGTTTCTGTCATGGTTACAACAAATTTCTACGAATTTAGCGGTTCTGGTAAATTGAAAAAGGATCCCCCAGCAAATACTTGTGTCACATCCCTGGACCCCGTGAATGAATGTGACTACTGTGTTGAACCCCGTCACCACGGTGATGGGATGAGGAGGTGGGGCTTTTCAGAGGTGACAGGTCACAAGAGTAGAGTCCTGGTGAGTGGGATTTGTATCCTTATAAAAGACACCCCAGAGAACTGCCTTTTCTCTTCCGCCATGTAAAGACACACTGAGAACCAGACAGTGGGTCCTCACCAGACGCTCTCCGGTGCCTTCGTCTTGGGTTCTCAGCTTTCAGAACTGTGAAAGTCATCTGAAAACACACTTCAGACACTGCACCACTGCAATCCAGCGTGGGTGATAAAGCAAGGCTCTGTCTCAAAAAAACCCAAAAACCCAACAAAACCCAAACCAAAAAAACCCAATAGGCTGTACCATCTGCATTTCCACCAGTAATGTATGAGATTTCCAGCTGCCTCACACCCAGGCCAAGACCTGATACTGTCAAGTTTCTGTTTTGTCATTCTAATAGGTGCATAGTGGTAACTAATTGTACTGAATGTAAAAAATTACTTTTAATTTAAAAAATTGATGTATAATGCATATACAGATCTTAAATCTACAGTTCAATTAGTTTTGTCACATGCATGTACATGTGGAACCAATGAGGGCACAGTTCGCTCCCATCACCCCCAGAAATCCCTCCTTATCCCCTTTCAGGTAATAAGTCATGCCCAGAGACAACCACTGTTGTGATTTCTATCATTGGGGACTATCCATTGACTTCATGTAAATGGAGTAATAATGGATCCTTTTAAGTCTGGCTTTTTTTTTTTTTTTTTTTGAGATAGAGTCTCTCTGTTGCCCAGGCTGGAGTGCAGTGGCACGATCGTGGCTCACTGCAAGCTACGCCTCCTGGGTTCAAGTAGTTCTTCTGCCTCAGCCTCCAGAGTAGGTGGGACTACCGGCGAATACCACCACGCCCAGCTAGTTTTTGTATTATTAGTAGAGACAGGGTTTCACCATGTCTCGTTGGAGGCCAGGCTCGTCTTCAACTCCTGACCTCGTGATCTGCCTGCCTTGACTTCCCAAAGTGCTGGAATTACAGGCTTGAGCCACTGCACCCGGCCATGGAGTGTTTTTTTTTTCAGCATAAAGTTCTTGAATTCCCTTATGTTGTTATGTATGAGCTGTGTTTTCACAGCTGAATTGCATTCCATTGCATGTCTATACTTCACTGTTTATCCATCTGCCTCTTCATAGTCATCAGGATGTTTCTAGCTTTTAGCTCATGAATATTCAGATACAAATCTCTTGGTTGATGCATTTAAGAATTTATCTTGGATAAATACCTAAGGGTGAATGCTGCTTCTCAGGAGTAGATAGATACATGTTTGATAAAGACGCCACATAGTTTCCCCACGTGCTTGTACTATCTTGTGACTTCCAGTTGCTCTAATCCTTGAAAATTATTTGACATAGCCGGTCTTTTTATTTTAGCCATTCCAGAGGCTGTGGTGCTCGTGTGGTTTAATTGGCCATTTTGGTGCCTTCCTTGCCTCTTTGTGCTCATTAAAAAAACGGCTTGGGCCAGATGCAGTGGCGCACACCTGTAATCCCAGCACTTTGAGAGGCTGAGGCCAAAGGACTACTTGGGCATAGGAGTTCAGATCAGCTAATTTAAAATTTTTGAATCAGAGTCTTGCTCTGTCACCCAGGCTGTAGTGCTGTAGTGTGATCTCGGCTCACTGCAACCTTCACCTCCCAGGTTTAAGTGATTCTCATGCCTCAGCCTCCTGAGTAGCTGGGACTATAGACGCATGCTATGATGTCTGGCTAATTTTTGTATTTTTAGTAGAGAGAGGGTTTCGCCATGTTGGTGAGCCTGGTCTTGAACTCCTGACCTGAGGTGCTTCTCCTGCCTCGGTCTCCCAAAGTGCTGGGATCACAGGTGTGAGCCACCATACCCGGCCCCAGCTTTCACATTGAAGTCCATGGTGCATGTCAAATTAATTTTTGTTTATGGTATGACGTAAAGATTTGCTTTTCCTTTACAGTTACCTAGTTCTAGCACTAGTTATTTACACATTTTCCTTCCTCTGTTACATTTTATGTTATCTTAGTAAAAAGGAAAACAACCTCAACTGACCATATATTTCTGGACTCTATTCTGCTTCACCGATCTATTTATCGGTTTGCTAGTACCATACTATATTGATTACTCTAGCTTTAAAAAGCCTTGAAATCAGGCCGGGTGCAGTGGTTCACAACTGTAATCCCAGCACTTTGGGAGGCTGAGGTGGGCAGTTCATGAGGTCAGGAGTTCGAGGCCAGTGTGGCCAATATGGTGAAACACCATCTCTACTAAAAATATAAAAATTAGCCAGGCGTGATGGTGCATGCCTGTAATCCCAGCTACTTGGGAGGGTGAGGCAGAACTGCTTAAAGCCAGGAAGCAGAGGTTGCAATTAGCTGAGATTGTGCCATTGCAGTCCAGCCTGGGTGATAGAGCATGACTCCATCTCAAAAAAAAAAAAAAAGAAGCCTTGGAATCAGATAATGTAAGTCCTCTAACATTGTTCCTTTCCTTCCAGATTGCTCTGGCTACTCTAGGTCCTTTGTGTATCCATTTTAGAATCGGCTTGTCAAATTCTACAAAATGCCTGCTAGAATTAATTTGAACTGTGCTGATTCTATAGATCAGTTGGGTTAACTGATCTCTTAACCATACAGGTATTGATCGACTTACGACCTATGCAACCTACGGCCATTCGACTTTACAACCACAATCGCTAGCCACAACTGCTCCGCATCTGGCAGCGCAAATGTGGCCCAGCTGGGCGTACGACAGTGTGGACCAGCTTCCGGCAGCACTACCATCTCCGCGTGCATATAGCCTACTCAACTTATGACCAAATCGTGTTACGACCGGTCTGTCGGAACAATCGTGGTCATAAGTCGAGCACTAGCTGTATTACTCTTCTAACTCATAAACATGCTGCATCTTTTAATTTTGGTCTGTTTGATTTTGAAACCGAGTTTTGCTTGCCCAAGTTGGAGTGCAATGGTGCGACCTTGGCTCACTGCACCCTCCACCTCCTGGATTCAAGTGATTCTTCTGCCTCAGCCTCCTGAGTGGCTGGGATTACAGGTGCCTGTCACCACATCCGGCTAATGTTATATTCTTAGTAGAGATGGAGGTTTCACTATGTTGCACAGGCTGCTCTGGAACTCCTGACCTCAGGTGACCCACCTGCCTAGGCCTCCCAAAGTGCTGGGATTACAGATGTGAGCCACTGCGTCTGGCCTATTAAGGCCTTTATTCTGAGCAATGCTTTGTGGTTTTTTACATAAAGGAATTGTATATATTGTACCAAATGCATTCTTAGAAAATGGGTATTTCCAATGTCATTTTTTTTTTTCTTGGGAAGATGGGTATCACGACTTACAGGCTTCTTACATGCCTGTCTGGAAAACGACTAACAATTTGTAAAAAAAGGTCTCAGAGAACCATTAAGAACAACTGAGTGAAAGAGACCCAATCCCTTTCACACATATGATAGGGCGATATGCAGCATGGCATTTGCTTTTCCACACACAAGAGCGAAGGAACAGCTCTCAGATTCAGTGTAAAGATGTCTTTTCATTCAGAAAACTCAAGTGGTACTTGATGAAGGTAGCTAACATTATGATGTGATGTCCAGAGCCCTCTAGGTGGGACTGCCAACCGCTCAGTGCCTCTGCTGCAGAGTCACACTCTTCCCAGGGACCTGCAGCCAGTGACAGACTGAGGTGTAGAAGGGCCTAGCCATCTTGATTCTACACAGGACCACCTGACGGCCAGTTCTGCTCATCCACATTGCAGACGCTCTCACTTCTGGCCCATCACTCCCTCTGTGCTGTCTGCAGGGCCTTGCTCCACATCTGATTCTACCTCAGAACTGGGCTCTACAATGGTAATTTCCTGGGACTTGGAAGTAGCTGCTCATTGGAAGGCCTCCCCAGTGAATTTCTCCTGAGACTTCTGAATAAAACCCAGGATGTGAATGGGCTAATCTCCAGATTTTGCTGTCTGCATGCAGGAAATGCTGATGCTGAAAGGGACTGTGTCTCAGGGCAAGGGCCCCCAGCGCTTTGCTGTGAGGGCTATTTGGAGTTCAGTGGTTATTTTTCCGAAGGAAATAAATAGTGAGTATTGTACTGAGTCACAGTGTTAGAGACATGCTGTGATGGTCGACTTTGTTTCACCTGACTGGGCCAAGGGATGCTCAGATGGCTGAGAAAACATTATTTGGGGCTGCGTCTTTGAGTGTTTCCAGAAGAGGTTAGCATTTCAATTGGTAGACTGAGCAAAGATCACCTTCATCAATGAGGGTGAGCATCATCAATATGCTGAGAGCCTGAACAGAAACAAAAGGCAGAGAGAGGAAAGGCAGATTTGCTCTCTGCTTGAGTGGGGATGTCCGCCTTCTCCTTCCCTCCGATACGGGCACTCCCTGGTTCTCCAGCCCTTGAACTCAGACTGGGACACAATTGGCTCTCCTGGTTCTTAGGTCTTCAGGTTTGGTATAGAACTACGCCACTGGCATTCCCAGACCTCCAAGTCGCAGACAGCAGATGATGGGACTTCATAAGCCACTACTTTATGATAAATCTCTATCTATATAATCCTATTTATTCATTTATCTGGAGGATCCTAACACACATGCAAAAAGTATACAAAGTAAATATGGAAAAATTGAATGGTACGCATAATTTTACTGAAAATATAACTGATTAGCTCACAAAAATTGCTCAGAAATATTGCTGGGCACAGTGACTCATGCCTGTAATCCCAGCACTTTGGGAGGCTTGAGGCAGGTAGATCACCTGAGGCCAGGAGTTCAAGACCAGTCTGGCCAACATGGAGAAACCCCCGTCTCACTGAAAATATAAAAATTAGCTGGGTTAGGGTTAGGGTTAGGGTTAGAAAATCACTTGAACCCAGGAGGCGGAGGTTGCAGTGAACCGAGATTGTGCCACTGCACTGCAGTCTGGGCAATAGAGTGATCTGTTAAAAACAAACAAACAAAAACAAACAACATGTACCAACAGTTGGCCATAAGTTAAGCTGGCCTTTTACATTTATTGATATTAGGTGAAGCTATTTTCCACGTGAAAATTCTCAGGTGCATAAAAAATATAAACTTTTCTTTTTTCTTTTTGGAGACATGTCTTGCTCTGTCATCCAGGCTGGAGTGCAGTGATGCAATCATGGCTCATTGTAGCCTTGACCTCCTCATCTCAAGCGATCCTCCCACCTCAGCCTCCCAAGTAGCTGGCACTACAGGCACGTGTCACCATGCTTGGCTAACTTTTAACAAGAAACATGGCAGTTTTAAAAATCAGACTCCATTTTCTCTATAGATTCCATTCTAGGAATAAAAGTAAATTTCAAGGTCTTGAACTTCTAGCCTCATGTAATTCTCTCACCTCAGCCTTTCAAAGTGCTGGGATTACAGGCTTGAGAGACTATGCCCAGCTAAAATATAAACGTTTCTAGACAGCTAAATCTAAGACAACTTTTAGGGAAGACAACATGTAAAACTCTATATAAAAAGCTTCTGTGACTGAAGGACAGCAGGGAGAATAATTTTAAGTCCTTTATTTTGAGTATCAGTAATCACGTTTTCAAAATATAATTTCTATTTAAAGGTATCAGTACCATAAATCTGTATCTTACAGTAGGAAATATAAGAGTAAACAGCCTATATACACTTTGCACTATTTACACAATTTTATATACACAACCCTATATAGTATGTACTCATCTCCAGAAAAACCACCTACAATCCATTTGTCTGGACTGTGGACAAGTGGTTTTTGTCTTCTTGTTTTTTTCCTTTTTGTGGAGAACGGGGTCTCGCTATATTGCCCAGGCAGGTCTCAAACTCCTGGGCTCAAGCTATCTTCCCGCCTCTGCCTCCCTAAGAGTTGGGATTACAGGTGTGAGCCACAGCGCCCGGCCGACAAGTGGTTTTTGAGTCAGGGTCTCACTCACCCAGGTTGCACTGCAGTAGTACAATCATGGCTCACTGCAGCCTTGACCTCCTGGGCTCCAGTCATCCTCCCATCCTGGCCTCCCAAGTATCTGGGACTACAGGCGTGTACCACCACGTCTGGATACATTTTGTGTTTTTGGCAGAATGGGGTTTCACCATGTTGGCCAGGCTGGCCTCGAACTCCTGGGCTGCAGTGATCCGCCTGCCTCGGCCTCCCACAGTGCTGGGGTTAGAGGCGTGAGCGACTGTGCCTGGCTGACTGCGGACAAGTTTTACAAATAAACCAAAATAAAAGATTCCCATTTTTCAGCTGCACATGGTGGAGATGTACATGTGTGACGATGAAGTCTGAGATATTTGTCACACTGAAGGTGTTTAACTTTGCTCCATGCCGGCCATGAGTGACAGTGCTAGAGATTCCACTGCGGGGAGAATAAAAATAAGGTCAGAACAACAGGTTCAAATTAGTTCAAAAAACTTTGTTTGTTTTTGAGACTGAGTTCTGCTCTGTCACCCAGGCTGGAGTGCAGTGGCACGATCTAGGCTCACTGCAACCTCCGCCTCCTGTGTTCAAGCAATTCTCCTGCCTTAGCCTCCTGAGTAGCTGGGATTACAGGCACGTGCCACCA